TTTTTCCACTTTGATTAATACAAGGGAGAGATTCACTAAAGCAGAACATAAGTTTAGCTTCAAGTTTCTTGATGTTTGTCTTGCAGGTTCGAGGAGTTGGGACAGGTGGGATTGTGTCCACTGCATTTTGCTTGCTGTATAAGCTATTTACACTGAAACTGACCCGCAAACAAGTGATGGGTCTCATCACTCACACAGATTCGCCCTATATCAGATCACTGGGCTTCATGTACATCAGGTATGACGGAGAACACTTAACATGAACTGAGCTGGGGGGTTTTTTGGTAACTGTTTCAGAAGTAACTTCATGTTTTGTTATTTAACACTGCCATGGAGGTTCATGTGGGTGAACTACTTTGAATAATCAAATTCTAGCATTGATTTTAGCAAAGGAATATGAATATGTAGAGCAGAATTACCCAAACTGCTATATATAAGATGGTAATTTCATAAGTACGTAGCTCAAGCCACATTGTTTGTTTGGATGGTTCTTATTTTCTGGTCTCGATGAATACTCATTTATAATGTTGAATCTGTGTATTGTAGGTATACTCAGCCTCCTCCTGACTTGGTTGATTGGTATGATGAGTTCCTTGACGACGAGGAGGTATGTCACCACGGGTAATGACTTCATCTCTCTTATTTATAATGTACCAAGTTTTAACCAGAAAGCTTTAGGCCAAATGCTGATTGTGATGCACATAGCTGTCCTTCAACCTTTGACCTCATTTAACTTAATGTTCCTCTTGAGATTTGACAGTTACAGCTGTATTTGTGGTGGCAAGTTTACCCAAGACATCAGATAACTGGTTTCTTACTTTCACTGGGTATGCCATGTATGTTCTGAGATCAGCACAAACTCTTAGCAAATGGTCATTTGAGCTAGATATGTAGTTCCATGGTGATTCCTCTGTGGTTAAATGTAAATTGCATGCAATGTTCTTTTAGCCCAGATACTTTGTGTATATTGCAGTATGCCTCCGTAATTCATAGAGACATTTATATTTGATCGTAAATATCAGACATCCATTACTGGTTGCTGACTCATGTCTTGTGCTCCTGCACGCCCACTCTCAATATATAGTTGGTAATATATTATCCATTTTAAAAATAGCCCAGAAAAGGAGATCTAATTTGCATTGAGCAGACATTGCTGCAAGGCCTGGTGGTGGTGGTGGTTATGTGTGTCTCTGGCTGACTGCCCTGTTCTCTCTCCCAGATTGCCCTTGTGATGCGGGTGGATTGGATATAGGGTGTGCTCCCCACACTTGACTGGTATTCGTGAGTGCAGTTAGACAAGCTCACCTACCCACTCCACCCCTTCACACGCACCGGTACAGCATATATATGTCAGCTGACCTACGACCTCCTCTGCATCGCACCTATGTTGAGCCATTGCATAGTAAGAGACATTGTGGAAGCAAATCATTTTGATGCTCAGTCATGCAGATCTGTTGAAAAATAATTTAATAAACTGTATTTTCTATAAAAAATAAAGCAGAAAGACAGGAAATGTAACGAATCTCTGTTACTTCCTAACGATCCCACTTATATTAAAGGTGCACTAAAGGTCTATTATGAAATAGCACCTTTTTTTTAGCTAGTGATAAAAGTATTTATACAATGGTATTGCTTTTGTATCCGTGCTGATTATTTGTTATTATAAAGTCTAAGATGACGGTCAATGAAACAAACAAAATTACTTGGTGCACCTGTCAATACTGAATATTAAGTCAGGTGAGAGCAGAGGTGAAGGCTCAGTGTTTGGTCATCACAAATTAAACATTTTATTTAGGACAGTGTACGGTCTAATTATTAGCGTTAACATGTATACCAGAGGTTGTGCGATATCTTTTAATGTGTCTGAGTGTGTTTGTGAATGTAGTGTTAATGGTTTTGCTTCTTTGTCTCTGTGATCAGGAGTTGGACGTGAAGGCTGGAGGAGGGTGCGTAATGACGATTGGAGAGATGCTCCGCTCCTTCCTGACCAAGCTGGAATGGTTCTCAACGTTGTTTCCACGAATACCTGTTCCTGTGCAGAAAGCAATCGACCAGCACATGAAGAACCGACCACGTAAACCCCCGCAAAAAGATGAGCAGGATGAAGAGGCGGCAGCCGATTCAGGAAAGCATGGAGATAGGCGCCGTTCCAGGTACATTCGTTGTGTGTGGGTGGGATGAGATTATTTGGCTAACCAGATCAGCAGTGATCAGTGTTTGTGGTGGTGTTTGAACTGTAGTAAGTTAGTTTTGTTCAGCTGTTTTAAAGGATCACCAACCATTTTGAATGGACTAACTATTCAAGACGAGCCATAACTACTCTGTAAATAAAACAAAGATTACTGGATTGTTTTACAAGAAAATAACATTTCAGTTTTTCTACTTCATGTTTAATTCAAAGTGGTACTTGCCATTTCTTTGTAATTGTTTGAATATAATGGATACATATAATGGGCATTGTTAGATTTAAGCTCAACTAATTTCTTGTGGTGTTGGTTAATGCTGGTACATGTCAGACAGCTGTAGTGTATTGTAACCAAATTGCTAGAGTTCTGTTTTTTGGTGTGGCGACTGTTAATGCTTGGCATTTGATAAGTTTTTCCTTGGTTTGTATTTGGATGGCTCATGAACGTGCTCCCAGCAGCATGTAGAATGTAGACATATTTTCCACCAAGACAGATATGACTAAAGTCTTCAGTCTCATGTGAGTTTACATCATTTTAAACATTTTCAAAAATATGATTACTTTCTGTGTGGAACTTTAGCAGTTAGCCCAAAACTTTGTTCCCCTTTAAAGAAATTTACACACAATACTAATTTCTGCCGAGTTATACTTGTCTGTATGAGATTCTGTCTTACATATACAGTACCTTGTAATGTTGTGATCTGAATGCAGGGAATAGAATTGTTGTTTCAGAATCACCGCACTCTCTTCTATTTTGTTCACTAGTATATATGTGCTATGTTCAATAATTGTGTTTTTTTGTGTGTGTTTAGGACACCTAGGAAAAGTCAGAGTCCCGGGAGATCCCAAAATCGTTCCCGGAGTCGCAGCCATCACAGAGAAAAGCATGGCGCCAGCTTTGATTGTGAGCTGGAGAGAGAACGAGACCGGCAGCGAAAAGAACGAGAGGGAAAGGACAGGGATAGGGATAGAGACAAGGAGCGGGACAGGGAGAGAGACAGAGATAGACGGCGCTCCAGAACACCAGACCGAACCACAGAACGTCGACGCAGTCGCAGCAGGGAACCACGCCGGAGTCACAGCACCAGTCGAGAGAAGAGGAACGAGAGGAAAGACAAAGATAAAGAGAGGGAGGCAGAGAGTGAGAGAGAGCGTAGTCGCAGGAAAGACAGAGAGCACCATAAAGATCAGGAGAGGTCAAAAGACAAGAGGAGTAAAGGAGAGGGGGAAGAGAGGAGGCACAAGGAAGATAAGCAGGATAGAAAGCACAGGGAAGAAAAGAGGAGCAAACGCTCAAGGAGCAAAAGCAGAGACCGGAAAAACAAAACTGAACGATCTATCAAGAAACGCTCTCGCTCGAGCAGCAAGACCAGGCAGGAAGCAGGGGAGGAGAGGAACCAGAAACGGGAACACAGCCATAGTAAGGAACGCTCACACAAGCGCAGTCGCAGCAAAGAGCGCTCGCACCGTCGAGAATCCAGCAATGGACGAGAACATGTAAAACAAGAGCATCCCAGTCCTGAACAAGGAGAAAGAACAAACAGTGTTCGAGAGGATTCTCCCTGATCCAAGTCTGTCTCTATCTCCCCCTCATCCTCTCTTTCAAATTCCCTCTTTAGCAGTACCTCTCTTATTACTTCATGTCTTTATCTTTAATCCTCTTGTGCACTACTTGTGTTGAAGTAAGCAATTGGAAAAGCCTGGATTTTTTTTTTCTGCACTGTTAATTGCCACTTGTGTAGACATCAAAAAATGTATTTTTCTCTCAGTTGTCCATTACAGATGTCTGAACTGAAAATGACATTTTAAAATACTTTTTTTTTTTAAAATCCCCTTTCTCCCCCAATTTGTTTTCTGGATTTTCACAAATGGCTTTGTACATAGAGCTCAGAGAATGTTTTAAATTTCAACAGAGCTACCACAGAGTTGAGTTTGTGGCACAAGCCGCTGAAATCTGTGCTGACATTGTACTGTTTCATTGCTCTGTTGCATCTCGTTTTCTAATAAAATTCTTATGGAACAAAATTGCTCAGTTGTATATTTTTGATGTCATTAATCAAAATGGTTGGGTTCTATATGTAAAAATGTCACTCATTTTCTTCATAGAGTTTCTTTGTAGAGTTTGTGTCGACATGTCAACCTTTCAAGACAAACCTGCCATGAGATTTTAGGTTGTTAAATTAAGACGTGCTTCTGCTGTATGATTTCAACTTTATTTTTTGCAGTACAGTAATATCCATAATTATAAAGAGAGAACTGTGTAGGTGAGAAAAGTAGCGGCTACCCATTCCCATGAAGTATTGTGATAATCTAGTCAGTCTTACTCAAATTGCTTGTACAAGTATTAATATCTTGGAATAAATTGTAAAAATGTAAACAAAATGCACTGTTTTATAATTAAAATTATTTATAGTCAATAGTTTCATTTTATCAACTTAATTCTGTTGTCAGTTGTGTTGGTTCATGGGATGAGTAGTTCATTCACTTAAAGATGTTAAATACAGTCTTTTACAGTGCTTTTTTGCTTTCACTGTTGTGCCCTTGTCAGTTCCTTGTAAGAACATTTTATAAGAAGAGCAGCTGTTTTGTATATGGTTAATTTATTTTACATGTGCTTTACATGTCATAATTTATAAGACTGATCACATGGAGAAATGCTCTTTGTATTTAATAACTACTCGTATACAAAAACAGGAATCCATATTTATATAAGACTTTTAAAAAATATTTGGCATTGCATGAAAGTAAATCCTTCAGCCAGAAACGACAGATTTTGGAAAACATTTTAAAAGAAATAATGTTAATCTTACACCCAGTCAATGTATTTCACCCTTAAATATTGTTAAAAAAAAAAAAAAAAGAACCTTGAACCAGAATTGATGTAACATGCAAAAGTTAAATATCACAGAGTTTCACAAATTCTTAGGTAAGTGCAGGAATTCTCAGAGGCAAGAGTTTGAGTGCGATGAGATACAAGCATTTACTCAGGGTTGGTCGGGCCTAGAGTGGAGAGAATCAAGGGTTAATACTGGAAACCTTTTTAAGACTTAAAAAAATTTCTGTCGCTTGTAAATATCTTTTTAAGATGTTAAGGAAAGGTGCTGTTGTGGATAAATCTTTAAAAGCAAACATTGGGTGGCATCACTTTTTTGCATGTGGAATGAGGTTCAGTTTCGTTTGTGTTAAGTTCAATATACCATTTACCCTAAATAAAGTCTTATTTCTCCATTTTGAGAATTAATCTGAGAAAAGAAATTTCATGAATTTTAATTTCTGCTGTTGAGCATCAACTCACCTTTCTCACTTTGTGCCAGGTCTCACCTCCTCCTGCGACCTGCTGTCACTGCGAAAGGATGGGCAAGGTCAAAGGTGACAGGACTTTCACCAAAGCAAGATTTTGACAAGCCCATGTCTTAGTGAAAATTACTACTGCTCTGATATTTGATTCTTGCTCTCTAAAATCACCTACTTACCTGAAACAGGCACGGAGTCTTCACTCTCCCCGGCAGTGTTGCTGGCAGTTACGACAATGTGACCACTGCTGAAATTGGTGACAGAGCAGAGGAGCTGTGAGGTCATGCAGAGTTTCGTCCTACCAGAAGAAGTAACCCCATACACAGTGTAGTTTGTAGCAAATAGAGCCTGGTTCCATGCCACTTCCGCCGATGATGCAGAGAACGCCACATTCAGAGGGGCACAAGGTACTGGGGGAAAGAAACAAATGAACAGATGAGTTATGTATGTTTTTGCATTTTAAGCATCTTCATTTTCCATTTAAGTAGGGTAAAAAAGGTAGTACTGTGGTGACTGAACATTGTGCACCTGTGGTTCCAGTGATGGCAGCAGATTTGTCGCTTGTGGCGGCAGAGTTCCTCGCGCTGATGGTTGCGCTGTAGGAGGAGCCACAAGGGAGGGGTACCTCAAAGAACCTGCGACTTGTCCAATAGGAGGCGAGGTCAAAGAGTGCCTGGCTGTTGCCCTGAATGCTGCCCGTGAGCGCCAGGAGGTATTCAGAATTAGGACAATTCACAGTAGACCAAGATGCCCTCAAGATCTGAGTATCATTCACTACTGTACGAGGGACAACCCTCAATCCAGCTGGAGGACAGGGAGCTGAGGGAAAGACACGGACAAAGAGACTTAAAACCTGTTTTCCCAATGGGGATCCCAAAGAAGCAGAATCAAAATAGTATAGATTTGCCTCCATTATATACTTTCTGATTTTGTGTACATAGATGGTCTGAACACATATTTGATTCTATTCTCCTAGAAGACCTTTTTTTTTTTAATGTGATATCCGACTCATAGTCACGTTGTTAATGTAAGTAGCTGCTAACCAGGTAGGTAATGACTCAGAAGAAGGTGCCGAAACTATTTCTTTGCTCTGCTCTGCTAAAAGTAGATCCTTGAAGATCTTTATCAGTAGTGGTTTAGGTCTGCAAATTGGGTCAAGTTATTTTCATACTAACTGACAACCATACAAGAGTGGACTTGGTTCTTTTGGTAGACACACAAGTGCAGAAAACATACCAATAAACTGAACCAAGTTGATTGTTGTACCTGCTCCCTTAGTTTGAGGTTCACTCAAGGAACTGTTGCAGAAGCCATCCGTTGCCTGCACTGTAAAGTTGTACACAGTGCCGCACACTAAGCCCTCCAGAGTACAAGACGTGTGTGTGGTTTCACAGTAGACTGTTGTGCCAGTTTCTGACTGAGCAAGTCCCGTGTAGACCACCGCCCCTGTACTCCCCACCCATGACAATGAGGCACTACTACTGTTCCCGCACTGTATGTTTGCAGTTAAGTTGGCTGGCTCACACGGCACTATAGAATAAACACATTGCAATAAATATTAACACAATGTAAAAACTTTGGTCACGGAATTTAAAGGAAAAGAATTTGTGTTCTCTTACCCGTTTGGAAGGTGATGTTAGCACTGGGCAGGCTGGTGCAGTTCTCGTTACTGGCTAAAACGGACACATAGTAGGTGTTGCTGCAACGCAGATCGGTTAGCGTGCAGTTATTGTCCGAGGTATTGCACGTCTTCAAGTCTCCATTTCTGCCGACTACAGTAAGCAGGTACGACTGTGCCACGTATGATGGGTCCCATGACACAAACACATCCTTCGACTGACAGTCTACATCGGCCTGTACTGATGAGGGCTGACAGGGTGCTGCAGACGATCAAAGGAAGAAATGAGAACAGTCTGAATATTAATGTAATGAAAGTGCATCTAACATGGATAGATCTGTAGATCAGGGGTATCCAATCCTGCTCCTGGAGGTCTACCTTCCTGTTGAGTTTAGCTCCAACCTTATATTTTCAAGATCCTCGTGATTGCTAGAAGCAGGCAGTTTAGAACTAAACTCCACAGGAAGGTTGCCTTCCATGAGCAGGATTGTACAACCCTGGTCTACAGAATGCAGTTGCAATTATTTAACTAGAAAACTCCCATAATGCAAATGTTATGGTGTATTGAGTGGTTGTTAGCACTTTACTATATGCTTTCTAGGTGAGTGCTAGTGTTTCTGGGTGGTTGCTCAGTGGCTAAAAAAACAAGTCAAAAGAGCCCAGCCCCAGGTGTCCATGATATCGTGGTCCCTAGATAAGACCCAGGTCCCTTCTTTAATGCAAGTTTTTTTCTCTTCATCCATCACGTAAAAATTCAAAGTCAGATCACCTAAGAAAGTAATAGCGCACCTCTTTAAAGGGTAAATTCCCAACCCCAAGTTGGAGGAATAATAATAGTGATGGTTGCTCATGAATAGATACTGATTGCTAATGGTTTGCTTTCTAAAATAAACATCTTTTCATGTTTTATTAGATGGGTATGACATGATATTGATGGTTGTACCAGTTCTGATCTTGTAGGGTGGGCTGCGGAGGCTGCTGCATTGGTTGGCTGAAGCGGCTACAATGATGGTGTACTCCTTGTCGCACTGCACATTGGTAAAGTTGCATGAAGAAGCGGAGCTATTGCAGGAAAGGAGGGAACGGTCTTGATCCTCTGCTGTGGCAATGTAGAGAGAATTTCCACTCCGAGCTCTATGCCACTGTACCATGATAACAGAACTGTGGCATTCAGCCACCACCAGGATGGATGACAGGGCACAAGGTGCTGGAGAGAGAGATTATACATACTTTAAGACTGAGATACACATGGTCTCAAATAAGAAGGCTAAAGCTCTCTACTGCAGGTGTACTTACCTGTCTCCAGCTGAAAGCTGTTGCTGGGTGGGCTCACGCAAGCAGCGTTTGAGGCAGTGACGTGAAAGGTGTAGCTCCTTCCACACCCCAGGTCAGGTACATTACAGGTGGAGTTTGAGCTGCTACAGGTGGAATTGTGACCGTCATCCCTTACAGCCAGCACAGTGTAAGATTCTGCACCATTATCTACATCCCATGATACCCATGCAGAGTTAGTAACACAGTCCACAGTACCGGTGACCCCCTGTGGGATACATGGAGCTGTAAAGAGAAGACATCAGACATGAAGTGCATTAGGTAAATATGGCCATTGTAATCTGGTTGAGGAAGTATTTTTGTGTTAGTGTCCAACCTGAGGAGATGGAAAGGTCACTGATTGGTTGACTCTGACAGCCGCCTCTCAGTGCCACCACACTGAGGTTGAATCTCTCTCCACAGGGCAGATGGGCGATGGAGCACTGTGTGTTTGTGCTGTTACAGGAGGAGATCGTACCGGTGCTCTCGGACTCCAGTTCAACTCTGAACTGGCTGGCATCCACTGCTGGGTTCCAACTCACCAGCACAGACCCTAAATCACACTGCACAATGGCAGATACGTTCTGAGGGGGACATGGAGCTGAGAAAAGAGAGAGACGGAACCAGGATGTTATTGAAGGGTGGGGCTGTACTAACTACATCAGCAGGAAACTATATAAGGTAAGCCAACATAGCAACGGTGGTGTACTCCTTGCCGCAATGCTACATCAAGCCTGCTCATTTCACATACAAAAAGTCAGTCAGTCATAGCCCCATGTAGAAGTCTTAAACATATAGTAGCTTGCTTAATTCTAAAGGGGGTTGAAACTCACAAAGCATTTCCTGGTCATATTTTGCCTCAGAAATAAGATATTTTATTTTACAAAATGACATTAAAGTCCATTTTCAAGACTTTTGCATTGTGGCATTATTTTCATGGCAATTAGAATTTCTATCAAAAGTCTCATTACCGTAAAAAAGAATGTACAAAAATATTTCATTCCTGTAATGAGATGTTTTACTTTCAACAGATTATTTTGTAGTTCCCCTTACTGTATTATTGAACATTTTAAAATAAAATCGTATACAATATATAACAATGAAATATAAATACTTTACCATTTAAATAGTATATTGTTTTGTTTTTTTGCATTACAGCAAGGATAATTTGGAGAGAAAATATGCTTAAATTTTCTGAAAATAACTGCCAATAAAAATGCCTATATCATATTAATGCCAAAAGTAGACTTCACTTAAGCACAATATATTTTCTTATTTTTTGATTTTGATTTTGGTGTGAAAAAATGTTTTGCTCTTTAAATATTTCATGAGATTTACCC